GAGAGAGAGAGAGGAAGAGAGAGAGAGAGAGAGAGAGAGAGAGAGAGAGATTGTGTGTGTGTGTGTGTGTGTGTGTGTGTGTGTGTGTGTGTGTGTGTGTGTGTGTGTGTTGCATGATACACATGACTCTACCTCTGGCAGCACGAATGCCCTGCAGTGGTTGGCTCACACCCAGCATAGCCAGCAGCCTGCTGTGAAGCTGGCGCCGTGGTCCGGCATCCAGGCACACGCTGCGCCATCGCTGCACCCTGCCGGCTTCACGATAACCTGACACCCCCCCCCGCCAGGTCGGCAGCGACAGCGCGCAGGGCGCGGGCGGCCCCGTCATGCGCGACACCATCACCCGCGTCGCGCGGGCGCTCTCCCAGGTGCGCCCGCCGCCCCGATCTTGGCCCCCACGCCCTACTGCCCCTGCAAACCCCAAGGAACTTGCGGTCGTGTCGAAACGCAAGCCAGGCGGACGCTAGCATTGCGGCGTCGCTGGCGGCGCCAATCCCAGCTCGTCTCGCACTCACTGAGGGCTGACCATTGCACAGCAGCTGGCCCCCCTTCCTTCTCGACTTCTCACTATGTGCTTTGCGGAACTGCTCGGTTGGCAGCCTGACAGGATCTGCCGCGCCACCCTATTGGGTCCAACATCGTTTTGGCGCGCCACCCTATCTGATCCACCGCAGGGCCAGGAGGGCGCGGTGGAGCGGGCGCTGCGGCAGTCCTTCCTCGTCTCGGCCGGTGAGCGGAAGCTGGGGAGGCAGGAGGGACGACAGGAATTTTGGGAAGGCAGGCGGGTTCGTGCGGAATCTGGGGAGACAGCGGCCGTGTGCGAAATCTGGGCAGGCACGCAGATCAAACGGATTCCGGGAGTCAGGGGGCGTGTGCAGAATTCAGGGAGACAGGGGGCGTGTGCGGTCTCCAGATAGGCAGGGGCCGGGTGCAGAATCCGGGGAGGCAGGAGGCGTATGAAGAATCGGGGGGGGGGGGCAGGAGGTGTATGCTTGATCTGGAGAGGCAGGCGGCGCGCGCGAAATCTGGTGAGGCGCGAGGCGTGCGCAGAAGCTGCGGGGCAAGGGGTTCAGTTTGGGCCTCGGCGCCCGCTGGAAATCCCCGTCGATGCGGCCGCGAAGACGGACCCTCGCGCTTCCCACGGCTGCATACGTTGTCTGCAAACGCGCAGCCGTGCGATCGCCTGGGCGGCCGAGGCGGGCGCATCATCACTGGCTGCGTTCCCGGCTCACCGCGGAGCGGCATGCATCGCCCCTCAGTCCCAACTTTCAACGCCCCCTTCCCCATGCTTAAGAGCCCCGTCCTGCATCAAACCCTCATCCTTGCAACCCCTCACGCCCTCACCCCTGACTGGAGCGCAGACACGGCCCACGCGCTGCACCGCACGCACACCGACGAGCCTAAACCCCTCACCCCCTCACCCCCTCTTGCTCAAGAATAGCACACGCGCTGCACCCAACACTCTCTGATGGACACAACCCGTCAACCCCTCGACCCCCCTTCTGATCAGACATGGCCCACGCGCTGCACCCCACCTACACCGACAAGCACGACGCCCTCAACGCGCCCGCCTTCCACGGCGGCCTGGTGCTGAAGCACAACAGCAACCAGCGCTACGCCACAAACGCCATCAGCGCCGCGCTGTTCAGGTGCGTGCGTGTGTGCGTGTGTGCGTGTGTGTGTGAGTGTGTGTGCGTGCGTGTGCGTGTGTGTGTGTGCGTGTGTATGGGGGGGGAGTTCCAGGGGGTTGGGGTCGGGGGTTGAGGTTGGCGCGTTCTCGGTGGGGTCGACGGGGTGAGGCGGAGGAGGGG